GGAATTTCTTTAAAAATAAAAAATTGCACTGGGCCGCATTATGAGCCGACCTGGGCCGCATGCGGCCCTCGGGCCGCAGGTTGGACAAGCCTGCTCTACAGGGTCAGAAGATTGGGGGGGAGGGAGAAAAAAAAGACATAAAGCTCTTTATAAATTCAATACAGTAGTTGAATGAAGGAGGAAATTTCAGCAGATGTCGCTGCTAAAAGGTCCTCTTCTAAGTCACTACTGAAGGCAGAAGAAGCCTGTCCGCTTTTCCACCCTACTCTTCTGCACGGAACCTGAACAATCACTGGGCAATACAATTCTGCTTCTGATCATGCCTACACAGAAAGTACTCCATTGATTTCAGCACGACTTCTTTCCTGGTTCAAATCATCCCAATCTCTTTCTTTCTTTCTTTCTTTCTTTCTTTCTTTCTTTCTTTCTTTCTTTCTTTCTTTCTTTCTTTCTTTCTGTCTGTGGGTCGGTTTTTGCAAAAATATCCTCATGATCATAGATTCACTTGCTGTAAACCGCCCAGAATAGTGCATGGCATTAAGGAGGCTGTCCTTTTAAAAGGAAAGCAAGCAATCATTCAAATAAATACAGTAAATAAATCCTGGTCAAGGGAAAGAGATGCACAAACGTGCCACAACGAATGCACAACAGGGGCTTTGACACTTTTGTTGCTCCTTTTTTGTGTTTTTTGTGTGTTTTGTTTTGTTTTCTCTTCCTTGTCGCCTGGCTTTGGGTGTTTATTTCTGTCTAGAAAAACACGGGACATTTCCTCCAATTCGTATTTTCAAGACTTTCCTGAATTTTCCAGCAATGTGCAAACGCCAGTCATCCTTCTGCAAAAAAAGAGGCTGCCCAAAGCAATGAAGCTCCTGCATGGAGCTTCTTGGCATCAGTTTTAAAACAAACTAGTCTCAGGAAGGCCGTGAATAATTAAATTCAATCATTTTATCATTTGGGTTTTGTTTTTGTTTTTTGTTAAAAATCCGTCTTTTTTTTTTCTTCCCCCCATTTCATGCCCCTTTCTTTCCTTGCCTGTTGCATAACTGGCCTTGGCAGGCTGCAATCTCAGAGAAAGGCTCTTTCCATTGGAAAGCACCGCGGCTTCAGGCAGGGAGCAGGCGAGCATTCAACAGGTGAAGAAAGGCGTGCAACTGGGCAAAAGGAGGCTGTAAGAAGGCGGGCGCGAGTGAAGGGGCCGACCCGGGGACGGCCCTCCTTTTTTTCCATCTGGGAGCCATCCCGGCTGAAAAAAAATGAGGTTTTCAAAGCTCCCCGATCCATCAATAAGAAGTGCCTCTGAGCATATGCAGAGTACATTTCCCCCACTCCCGTCACAGCAGAGCCATACTTGAGATGACATTCCGCCGGCTTGGCTCCCACCTCAGGGATTTCGGAGGCGGGAGCCCCGAACCATGCCTGAGACCCCCGCCCCCCAACCGCGACCGCGGACCCCCTCACCTGCAAAAGGCTCCGCAGTTTCGCACTAGGCCCCGCTCCCTCTCCGGTTGCCTAGCAACGCGCAGAGCCGCCGGACCACTCGGGTTCCGTAGCATTGAAAGCCACGTGGAGCGGCGGAGCCAATGACGAGAGGGCCACGTGGCCCCGCGAGCCAAGCAGAAGCCGAGGAAGAGGAAGGGAGCGTCCTAGCAACGGGAGAAGCACGAAAGAGGGGAGGGGCCGCTTGTCAGGTTTAAGGACTGGACTGCAACTCCCAGAAGCCTTCACCTCTAGCTGTGCTGGCCAGGACTTCTGGGAGTTGTAGTCCAAGAACATCCAGGAACCCAAGGTTGGGAACCACTTCTTTAGGTGGTCCAAGGGCTGCTGTCCTCTAGCACGGTGGTTCCCAACCTTGAGCTCTCAGATGGCCTTGGACTACAACTCCCAGAAATCCTATCCAGCACAGCTAGCAGTGAAGGCTTCTGGGAGTTTGAGTCCAACAACATCTGGGGACCCCAGGTTGGGAACCACTGCTCTAGCATAGTGGTTCTTAACTTTGGGTTACCCAAGTGTTTTTTTAGACTGCAACTCCCAGAAGCCCCAACCAGCACAGCTGGTGGTGAAGGCTTCTGGGAGTTGCAGTCCAAGAACACCTGGGAGACCCACGGTTGGGAACCCTTGCTCTAACAGGAGTCCCATATTTTGTATTTATTTGTTTGTTGATTTAAAATATTTCTATCCCGCCTTCCTTGAAAAGGACCCAAGGCAGCTTACAAACAATGAACGACAATACATTGAAAGCTGAAAAGCAATGGGTAGACAACAGGGGTTAACACCCTTAAAAGAGAATATTTACAACTACGAACCTTGAAGGAGAAGGCATCTTGCATCATTAAGGAGCAATATTAAGGCAAAGATCAATAAGTATACAAAAAAAATGTCCCTTTGAGAAAGAGAAAACACAAAAATGGAAAGCACAAGTCATACTTAAAAGCAGTCCTGCATAACAATCTATCTAAAAAAATCACACACAGGTTTACAGAGGGAAGGTGTAAGCCGCCCAGAGACCTTTGGGTAGTGTGGGTGGCATATAAGTTACATAAATAAATAAATCTTTGCCTTCATGCAGAAGGAGAGCAAAAAGTCCTGGATAGTGAAGGTGGACTAGTCATTCTCTCTCTGTGTGATCTACCTCACAGGGTAGTTGTGAAAAGGAAACAAAGAAGATAGATGTATGCACCGCCTTGGGTTTACTGGAGCATAGCCAGGCGAAATATTTGTTACACTTAAGTCCTGTCAACTTATGAACCCATGAATGAGCCATCTCCAAAAGGTCCGGTCCTCAAAAGCCCTGCTCCCCTCTTGCAAACGCAAGCCTGTGCCTTCCTTTAGGGAGTTTGCCCATCTCGTATTTGGCCTGCCTCTTTCCCTGCTGCCGCCGTGGTCTTTTTCTAGTGAATCCTGCCTTCTCAGGATGTGCCCAAAGGAAGACAGCCTCCATTTCAACATTTTTGCCTCCAGCCTTGATTTGATCTAGGACCCACTAACTCGTTTTTCTGGCAGTCTAGGGTTGTCCACAAAGGTCTCCTCCAGCACCACATTTCAAAGAATTCACGGTTGTTTTCAACACCTCCGTCCTGTACAGGGTGAGAAGATGGGAGGGGGAGGAAAAAAAAAGACATAAAGCTCCTTATTCCTTCAATACAGTAGTTGAATGAAGGAGGAAATTTCAGCAGATGTCGCTGCTAAAAGGTCCTCTTCTAAGTCACTATTGAAGGCAGAGGAATCCTGTCCGCTTTTCCATCCTACTGCACGGATCATGCCCTTTTATTGACCTAAAACTGGCATTCCTCAGTTTATGATTATTGCATTTATTGAAAATATAGGGTCACCTTTCTCTAATGTATCCAAGGGGATGGACCCTTGACATCAGCCCAACTTCAGTTTCCACCAACCTCCAAATTACACCTTGAATAATGTGGGCAATACAATTCTGCTTCTGATCATGCCTACACAGAAGGAACTCCATTGATTTCAGCAGGACTTCTTTCCTGGTTTGAAACATCCCAACCCCTTGTGGTCTGTGGATCGATTTTGGGGAAAATATCCTCATGATCATGCGTATCCACTCCCTGTCAACCACCCAGAATACAGTAGTGCATTGCACTACTGAGGCCATCCTTTTTAAAGTGAAGAAATCAATCAATAAAATAAACAAATAAATCCAGGTCAAGGGAAAGTGATGCACAAACATGCAACAACGAATGCACAATGGGGGCTGTGACACTTTTGTTGCTCCTTTTTTGTGTGTTTTTCCCCCTCTTCCTAGTCACTTGGTTTTGGTGTGTATTTCTGTCTAGGAAAACACGGGGCGTTTATTTTATTTATTTCTTAGATTTTTATCCCGCCCTTCTAGACATGTGTCTACTCAGGGCAGCTCACAATAAAATTTCCTCCAATTTGTACTTTCGAGACTTTCCTGAATCTTCCAACAATGTGCAAACGCTAGTCATCCTTGTGCAAAAAAATACTGTAAATAAATAAATTAAGGCTACCCAAAGCAATGAAGCTCCAGCATGGAGCTTCTTGGCATCAATTTTAAAACCAACTAGTCTCAGAAAGGCCATGAATAATTGTGTTTAGTCGTTTAGTCATGTCCGACTCTTCGTGACCCCATGGACCAGAGCACGCCAGGCCCTCCTGTCCTCCACCGCCTCCTGGAGTTGGGTCAAATTCATGCTGGTCACTTCGATGACCGTGACCAGCCATCTCGTCTTCTGTCATCCTCTTTCTCCTCTTCCCTTCACACTTTCCCAACATCGGGGTCTTTTCCAAGGAGTCTTTTCTTCTCATGAGATGGCCAAAATACTGGAGCCTCAGCTTCAGGATCTGTCCTTCCAGTGAGCACTCAGGGTTGATTTCCTTTAGAACTGATAGGTTTGTTCTCCTTGCAGTCCAGGGGATTCTCAAGAGCCTCCTCCAGCACCACAATTCAAAGGCATCAATTCTTCGGCAGTCAGCTTTCTTTATGGTCCAGCTCTCACTTCCATACATCACGACAGGAAAAACCATAGCTTTGACTATTCGGACTTTTGTTGGCAAGGTGATGTCTCTGCTTTTCAAGATGCTGCCAAGATTTGTCATTGTCATTGTCATTGCCATCATTGATGGGGGGGGGTTAAAAATCCGTCTTTTTTTCCATTTCATGCCCTTTCTTCCCTTGCCTGTTGCAAAACTGGCCTTGGCGGGCTGCAACCTCAGAGAAAGGCTGTTTCCATTAGAAAGCACGGCGGCTGCAGGCATGGAGCAGGCGGGCATTCAACAGGTGAAGAAGGGCGTGCAACCGGGCAAAAGGAGGCCGTAAGAAGGCGGGCGCGAGTGAAGGGGCCGACCCGGGGACGGCCCTCCTTTTTTTCCATCTGGGAGCCATCCCGGCTGAAAAAAAATGAGGTTTTCAAAGCTCCCCGATCCATCAATAAGAAGTGCCTCTGAGCATATGCAGAGTACATTTCCCCCACTCCCGTCACAGCAGAGCCATACTTGAGATGACATTCCGCCGGCTTGGCTCCCACCTCAGGGATTTCGGAGGCGGGAGCCCCGAACCATGCCTGAGACCCCCGCCCCCCAACCGCGACCGCGGACCCCCTCACCTGCAAAAGGCTCCGCAGTTTCGCACTAGGCCCTGCTCCCTCTCCGGTCGCCTAGCAACACCCAGAGCCGCCGGACCACTCGGGCTCCGTAGGATTGAAAGCCACGTGGGGCGACGGAGCCAATGACGAGAGGGCCACGTGGCCCCGCGAGCCAAGCAGAAGCCGAGGAAGAGGAAGGGAGCGTCCTAGCAACGGGAGAAGCTCGAAAGAGGGGAGGGGCCGCTTGCCAGGGTTAAGGTCTAGCTGGGCGGGCCAGGCCTTCTGGGAGTTGTAGTCCAAGAACATCCAGGGACCCAAGGTTGGGAACCACTACTTTAGGTGGTCCAAGGGCGGCCGTCCTCTAGCATAGTGGTTCTTAACTTTAGGTTACCCAAGTGTTTTTTAGACTGCAACTCCCAGAAGCCCCAGCCAGCACAGCTGGTGGTGAAGGCTTCTGGGAGTTGCAGTCCAAGAACACCTGGGAGACCCACGGTTGGGAATCCTTGCTCTAGCAGGAGTCCCATATTTTGAATTTATTTGTTTGTTGATTTAAAATACTTCTATCCTGCCTTTCTCCTTGAAAAGGACCCAAGGCAGCTTACAAACAATGAACGACAATACATTGAAAGCTGAAAAGCAATGGGTAGACAACAGGGGTTAACACCCTTAAAAGAGAATATTTACAACTACGAACCTTGAAGGAGAAGGCATCTTGCATCATTAAGGAGCAATATTAAGGCAAAGATCAATAAGTATACAAAAAAAAAACCAGGCCTTCTCAGCGGTGGCCCCTTGCCTTTGGAACATCCTTCCTTCTGAAATCCGCCTGGCTCCTCTGCTGGGAGTTTTTAAGAGTGAATTGAAGACCTAGCTCTTTAGGCAGGCCTTCCCTCCTGCCACTACTTAATTTTTCCTCTGGTTTTTGGCTTGGTTTAGTCTTTCCACTGTTGATTTTAATTTTATTGTCTTTTTTTGGGCTGTAAACTGCCCAGAGTAGATTCGTCTAGATGGGCGGTATAAAAGCCAAATAAATAAGAAAGGAACTACAGATCTGTCAGCCTGACATTAATCCCAGGGAAAATTCTGGAACGGATTACAGTATAAAGCAGTGACTCTGCAAGAACCTTAATAACTAAAAGCCAACATGGATTTGTCAAGAACAAACCCTGCCAGACTAATCTGCATCTTATTTTTTGATCAGGTCACCTCCCTAGTTGACAGCAGGAATGCTGTAGATGTAATATATCTTGACTTTAGCAAAGCCTTTCACAAAGTGCCCTATGATATATGGAGGGGTGCCACAACATAAATGGCCAGCTTGGGTATTCCTCCCAGATAAGTTGAACTTGCACATGTAGTAGTCAAAGGTGGAATCTTACTTTTATAGGTTGAAATAGGATCTTTGTGATAAGTTCTCTGCTTGTGCCTTTGACGACCTTTTTCTTTTAATCTCAATTTGTGCTGGCGATACCAATTACAAACGGGGCAGGATGAAGATCTGTAACCAGACCTTCCATCTCTGAATGTTTGAGAAAGCACTGCTTCCCTGCAGAGAGCAGAGGAGAACTTTTGTGCCAGCATCTGCCCTATGAACTCCTCCAACCTTATTTCCACTGTCAGGTAGAGATAGAAACATGGGGTCCCTGCCAGTTCTCTGCTGGCTTTCAGAGTATGGTAGCATGGAAATGGTTACCGTCTGGGAGTAACAAATGACATGTTGTTTAGTTGTTAAGTCCTGTCCGACTCTTCGTGACCCCATGGACCAGAGCACGTCAGGCCCTCCTGTCTTCCACCGCCTCCCGGAGTTGTGTCCAATTCATGTTGGTCGCTTCGATGACCCTGTCCATCCATCTCATCCTCTGTCGTCCCCTTCTCCTCTTGCCTTCACACTTTCCTAACATCAGGGTCTTTTCCAGGGAGTCTTCTCTTCTTATGAGATGGCCAAAGTATTTGTGCCTCAGCTTCAGGACCACCATGTCAAGCAAAGACTAGACTGCAGTTCAATATCTCAGACACTATTATTCTTTCAGCACCTATCCAATAAGCTGTTGGCTTGATTATTTTAGCTTCTGTTTAATTTTTATTCAATAAACTATATTTCATAAATTGTATTTCTATAATCCTTAAAGAATCTTTAAAGAGCAATTTGATTTTAAAACACAGCAACAACGAATGAATAAAAGAAAGACAAGATCATCTTAAAAATGATATGAAATTTCCATTTTTAAGAGTTAGTTATATGCCATGTATATTTGTGATTAATAATTCCCATTGTTGTGTGATTCCGTGACTACTTTTTAATCTTATCTGTTGATCGTAATAAAGGAATGAAAGTGTTAAAAACAAGATGTTAAACCAACGTTAACACTGTTTCCAATTTAAACTTTAAAAAAAGTTTTGGATATACAGTACTGGTATTTCAGTATGTCGATATATTCTGGATATATATTCCATTTGCTGTAAGGGTTGTTTAAGGAACCTTCTGGATAAGTGGAATATAAAATTATTAACTAAAATGAAGTTGTCTTCACAGATAGAGGCATGAAAGTCTAATATTCTTTAGTAAACAAACCTCACATTGTCTGAACCAACTAAAAAAATGCAAATGGAAATACTGGTCCATGAGGGAAAAGGAAGGAATTGATTTCATTTAAATGTGTTGCTGGAGGACAGCTCTGCCAATACTCTGGACTGCCAGAAAGATGAAAAAGTGAGTTCTAGATAAAATCAAACCTCAGCTATCTTTGGGGGCAAAAATCACAAGACGGAGTCTGTCGTACTTCTACTTTGGGCATATCATGAGAAGGAAGGAAAAAGAGAAGGCTGGAAAACAGAATAATGAGAAGAAAAACAGATGGCAGCAGGAAAAGAGGAAGATTGAATACAAGATGGATAAAGAAAAATGGATAACAACAACAACAACAACAACAACAACAACAACAACAACAACAACAACAACAACAACAACAACAACAACAACAACATTTTGGAAATGGTGCATTTGTAGGAGCGCCATAAGTCAGAGGTGACTTGACAGCACATAATAACAATTAGCAAAACTGTCGCAGTAAATATGTTAAAACCAAAGGTTTCCTCAAAGCCTGTATCATCACTGGGACATGGAACTGAACGGTTCATTGTTTCATCCTGGGGGGAAAATGTTCAAACCGGTAACAGCTGCAACCAGGCAATTCCTTTGGTGGAATGTAGTTCCAGCTTTTCTCAAACTGGAGTCTGGCCCCAGGCAAAAAAGTAGGTTCTTTGTTCCTGGCTTAAATCTGAACTGGCAAGCATAAAAGAAAGGGAAAATTTATTGAGCGAAATGGAAAATAACTTTGGAAACAGGGAAAAAAATCAAATGAAGTCAATGCTAAGTTACGGTTTAATAAACGCTACTCCTGCCCATTTTTAGAAGGGAAGACCATCCTTACAAACTAGTGTAGAGTTGTGGTTGACAGGATGAACCATGACGTCAGAAACCCCCGGGTGGAATTCTCATCTGGGTGTGAATGAATCACGGTCTGACCAGACAGGTAAAACGTTGAGGTCATACAGTCATGGTTGATCATCATGGTACATCCCAAGTGATGATAGCAGAGCGAACAAGGTCCACACAAGTTCAAAAGCCCATTATGTCCAGAACTGCATTTTTCCCCCAAGAGATTTCTGAAAACCCATAACCCCACTGATGCTTGTGTTCTGGAGCATTTATTTTCATGTTGCGGTGTGCTACTTAGAAGATTCCAGTTCTTCTGATGCAGGAATGAACTGTACAGGAGGCCTAGAAAGGGCTATGAAGGCCTGAAACTTTGCCCCACACCACAAATCTTGGCAAAACAAAATAAAAACCAAAAGGAAAAAAATGCCTTTAGCAGAGGCTTTAAAAAAGCTCAGGAAGGCAAGGATTTATCACTCTTTTTACCGAGAAAACGATTGCATCGTAGATGCCATAAGAAAACATCAACACCACCGGCATTTTAGGGGAACACATGCGTATACGGAAAAACCTTTAGATGGTCCTGGGCTATTATTATTATACTGCACTG